ACATTTGGGATTTATTGTAAAATCATCCAAAATAGACCATTATTCAAAATGTGGTAAACATTTATTCATATCAAAGTAGTTATATAAGGAAATAACCATCATATTCAAAGTAAGATAACTCACATACCTAAACGGCTTGAATATTTTTATGGATAGAGTTTTGTTTAGTGAGTTAGTCTTCTACATGATGATGTCGCTAACTATATGCCTAAACCTCCTTCTTTAATCCAGGGCTTGAGACTGCCAGTATCCCCAGTGGGGCTCCTTATACGTTGGAGAATACTGGTCGGTGGCCTGTACTTCATTAGAAGTAACAAGCGTAAGTAAATAAGTCAAGAAGTAATCCACATACTTAACAAAACTTTATTTTTATTTCATCAATTTATTATAATAATATTGATTAAAGTGATATAAAATGTTTTCTTTGACCTGACAAAATACAATTGCTCAATAATATTTATATATACATATTAGCGGTATTTACAATACATTTTACTAATCTAACTGTAACAACTGACTATTTATTGTCTTTCTTTGTTTTCTTTCAATGGAACATATATGTATATATATACGCATTTGGGTTTTAATTTTGCGGTAATGAGGAATGTACTTCTAAATATACAACAGCTGTTATTGTAAATGAAAATTAAGATTATTATTATTACTACTACTACTACTAATAATAATAATAAGTGTTTACTATATACTTTTATTATAGAAGAATAGTTAATTAAGAATGACTTTCAAGAGAATAAGGTAATTGATGATGAAAGTTGGTAGTTGGGATAAAGACAATATACAATTAAGAATAAATAAAACATTTTGTTTTACAAATATAATGTCCAGAAACCGAATCATATATACACAACAAATGACATAACTAAGATATATGTGTGTTTGTGTACGACATACGTAGGAAATTAGTCTCTTCAATACGATATTATTACATGTATTGAAACGTTTAACATTGAATAACTTTTAAATCTGTTCACCGTCTGTAGCTGTTATAGGGTTACTGCCGGTCCCAAGCCCGAGTAAAGGAGGAGGGTTGGACATGGGGTTAGCGTCCCCATCCCGTAGAAAACTAACTCGCTAAAAAAACGCTTACCCACCGTGTTTACATATATGATTGACATTGAATACTTGAATAGTTAGGATACTTTACTTAAATAAAGATAAACTGAAAAAAATTTAAAGTGAATGAATAATTTTATGTCAGGGAAGTATTTTGTTGTATCATTTAAGAGGTAATTAAATTATTAACAGTTGTCTACGTAAAATACTTCGGATCCGTTGACCGAACACTATTAACAATTACCTACTGTGGGAGAGAACAAATCAGATCCCAGTGGAGGAAGAAATTAGGAAGAAGCGTTGTAAGTGGATAGGACACACATTGAGGAAAGCACCCGACTGTGTCACAAGGCAAGCATTAACTCAGAATCCTCAATGCCAAAGGAAAAGAGGAAGACCAAGGAACACATTACACCAGGAAATGGAGACAGACAAGAGGAAAATGAACAAGAATTGGATGGAACGAGAAAAGAAGGCCCAGGACAAAGTGGGTTTGAGAATGCTGGTAGGCGGGCTATGCTCCATTTTGAGTAACATGTGTAAGTGAGTAAGATTATTTTATCTAATATGAATGCGTGAAAAATGATAATTTACTTAAACCAAAGCAAAACTGTAACACCTAATATTGGGACTAAATCATATTTTCAGGGTTACTACATTTACACCAAGTTTATTAATTTAAAAGTTAGTAAATTTTAATGTACAATAATCATCATATTAGGTATGTTTGTGTTTATTATATATTCATTTGAGAATATATAAAGTTTTCTTAATCTTAACAGAGTGAATCTTACAAGTAAGTAAAGTGATGTAATAAAATAATAAGAGTGTAATTCATTCAGTTTTAGAACTATGCATTAATTTATAGTACTATTCATGTTTATCTTTGTATTTGATCCTCAGGTCAGTATTATGTTTGTAAATCTGGTGGGATCTCAAAGCAAGAAAAAGCATTTAGTTACCTAGTGATCCATTGTTTTAATAGTTCTTTAACAGATGCTGTTTTGAACGAGAACACTAGTGCGGACAACCAAATGTATGTGAATGCAAAACTACAAAATCACTTAGTGTAATCTGAGAATTATACAATATATACTTCATTTGCAAAATGTCAATCAATCATCTCAGACTTGATTGTTCCTTGATTTGCACACCAATCATTCTCTGTTCGCAATCTGTTTTGTTCTATTTTCTTAACCTTCTGACACCAGGTAATTCATTTTCAATTATTGATACATACTATATTATATCTTTCGACATCAGTAGGATACACCACAATACCAGTTCTTGGTGGGATGAACTTTCAAAATTTATATATTGTCTCAATAATTTGCTGGACGTATCAAGCATAATACTAAAAATGTATGTGAGGACTAGTGACCAGTGGAGTTCAACATGGTCTGTTGTGAGATAGTAACTCACTGAAGACAATGGTATACAGTGGCGCAATTTCGTGGATTAGTTGATATTAGACATTAACACCGTTGGATGACGGCCAGTTTTAGTGGTCTAGTGGTTAAGGGTTCGAATCCCTCGAATTAGGGTTACAGCTGTGCGCTGCTGAGGAATCTTACAATAGGACGAAACGACTGTCCAGTGCTTCGAGGATTTTCATGGTGATCTAGCTTTAATTGACTCATGATTTCGACTATTGAAATCTCCACAAAACTCCTTCTGATACTAATATATATAACTTAAATATACTTATAATTACCTATAACTGTTTCAAATGAATATATCTGAATCGAACTTATTCGTTAATTATTATTTTGCGGGTGATACTTTGTAATCTTGTGTACAAAACGATTTCTTGAACAACTCAAGAGCAATCGAAAGATAAAATGCAGTTACTGTAGAGATGATATACATATTGGTGGTTCCACAGATTTTAAATTTGAATTTCTATCGTAATTTTGAAGTATTTCAAAGGTTCATTAATCGTTTATGATTGAATTTTATCAGAAGTAATTTCAATATGTATCATTTTACAAATGAAACATACAATAGATTGGAATAAGCAAGTCTTTTACAACAACATTAGGTGATCTAAGAAAATAATGAAGAAAAGCCACTGATGAAATCATGTTTATTCACAAATATGAAGTATTGATCACTTTCTTATATTTTCAGTAATCATTTACCAATCCTATCAGTTGAAACTTGTTCAATGAATTGACCTTTAAATAAGTATCATGATGAAGGTCTGAATTGATCATTTCGAATTATTTGTGTTTTGAGTAGATTGTTATAAATAATAATAGCATATTTGTAGATATTCCAATGAGTAGAAAGAATAAAGTTTCCGACGTTTCACCACTCAGTGTATGTCACTTCTTCAGAGAATAAGTAAAAAACTAGATCAAAATTAATTCGAGTTGGTTATTTATTCTCTGAAGAAGTGGCATAAACTGAGTTACGAAACGTCAGAAAATCGAATTTCTCTACTCATTGAAATATCTACAAATATATTAATTTATTTATAATTTTAAAAATTATTACAATTGTTTGTAAGTTAACGTTTTACAAGGTCATAGTGAAATTAATTAAACCTCAGACTTTGTGTTTGTATACATGGACAAGATATTCAGAAGATTTTCACTACTTTACTGGTGATACATAATAAGTAAGCTACAAGATTGAATAATTTGCAGTTTTATTAGTTTAGATCATGAGTCAATTGAAGCTACATCACTATGAAAAACCTGAAACCACTGGACAAACGTTTCGTCTTATTGTGGGACTCCTCAGAAGTGCACATCCATGATTCCGCCAGCGAGATTCGAACCCAGAATCTATCGATCTCACCACTAAACCACTAAATCGGCCTACATCCAATGATGTTAATGTTTAAATTCAACTAATCCACAAAATTGAGAGACACATCCACCATTGTCATCAATGAGTTACTATCTCACAACAGACCCGACTGAACTCCACTGATCACTGCTTCTTATTTACAAAACTACTGTAATTAGTTAAACATTATAAAATTAGTTACATTTATACAGTTGAGTTAAAATAATCTAATATCTTTGTGTTTTGTAAAAGAAGCTCAACGTCAAATAATTTATATCTTGACAATAAGTGAACAGCTATGTATTATGTTTTGGCATCAATTGCATTTTATATTGATTATCTATTTCTTAGTATAAACAGTTTCTTTCTTTACACAATCTTCGTATTAAGAAGTATGAAGTTCAAATTGATTATGTCGAAGTTATTATTACTACTACCGAGGAATAGTTACTGTATTGCTAGATATATTACATTCAATAAGAAAGAAACCCTAAACAAAGGTTATTCATCTCTTTGAAGATTAATAATAAATATCATTTGTATAGGGTTTATTTATTAATGGTATATTAGCTAGCGAAAAATTAAAAACTAAAAGATGGTGAACGATCATTTCGTCCTGGATAGAATGTTCACATAATTGCTTGTGTTATACTTTAAAGAAAACCATCTTCAATGTAAATGAGGACCAGGAGAATACTAATTCAAATAATGATTTCAAGTTTTTTTACTTATATATTTTTAACTATTATGTAACCGTATGTAACGCGGATAATGAGTGATTGTAGTCAATGAAAACATTTTTTTTATCCTGATTCATTTTCAAAACTAAGTGATTTCTATAACTAACATCTTTAAATTACTAATAAATAAAACAGTTGAATGATAATTAATTTTATAATTGAATTCATCAGTTGATCTAAGTTAAACCACCATGAAAAACCTGAAAGTATTGGATGGTTATTTTGTCCTAGTATGAGACTTCATATCACTACGCATTTACGATCCCATTGGCAGGATCTAAATCCAGGACTTTCAATCCTATGGGCAAACATTTAACTTCTAAACTACTGAACCAACATTGAATTAGTTTCATTACAAAATGTTAAATAAATTAAACACTATTAATTTACCTTGTATAAAGAATCATCAATTTCAATAAATCATAAATCCGTTTGTTTTGTTTATGAATTAAAACGTTTATTAACATAAAATCCATTCATAGTCCATGATTAATAATAATAGTAACATGTAAGATTATGTTGTATTTAATGTAATTTGTATACAATGTACTACAACTGATAATAATAATGGTTTAGATAGTAAATAGGTCGTTTATTATGTTCCATTCAAAGATTCAATTCATATAAGATTTTATTCCATTCATCTCATAGTGATTAACTCAGAAATCTTGCAAAGGTTGATAGCGAATTTGTTGTTGTTGTTGTTGTTGTGTATGTGTGTACGTGTGCGTGCGTGTGTGTGTGTGGGCGCACTAAACTGTTACTAATTTAAACAAAAGTCATTCAATAAGTTAACCAATTTGATACCGTTTTCATTTTTTTTTCTAATTTTTGTGTTACTATATTCAACTGTCTTGAATTACAGTAACAATATTGAATAGGGGTAAAAATGTAAAAATGAATAATAATAAGAAGAATAAGATGAAGAACAATACATAAGAAGATTTCAGACAGGCAGAATTAGGACACAATCTCAATAATAAATTTTAATATTTCTAGATCATTTAATAGTTTTCAGTTTGGTTTGTTTTGCTGTTGTTTGGTTCAAACAAGTAAAATTGATAGATTGGAACAGTAATGTCTTTTACTATAGACTAATGGTAACATTACTTTGTTTAAGACTATATATATATTCCTGTAATATTATTTGTCTAATATCTACACCCTACTGTGTTGTTACTGTCTTTTATTCTAAACTATTTACACAAATCATATGAGAAAGAAAATATACAATTTAGAAAAAAAAATTAACCAATAAGAGATAAGTAATTTGAAAATGGCGTTTATTTGAAATCATAATGGTATTTGGTAAATATCATAGAAAGAAAGTTTATAAGAAGACATGAAACAAAACAAAAAAACAAACAAAGGAATGACATTTTAAGATCAGATGTACATTAGAAACAACATTAAATGACATCAAGAAACAGTAGATAAACCGTATTCTTTTTTTTTACTTGTCTGGTAAATATTACTTGATAGAAGTTTCTTTGTATCTTCCTATTGTAGTTTAGAACTGAAATTGATCAGTCTCTTATTGGTTTATGTAAATCTTATGCGGATTGTCTTGATATTGCCTTTGGTCACAAGCTTTATCATATTTTCAAATTAAACTGCTATTATTCAGAAATTTATTTATGTTACTTCTCATAATTTAAGTCAGAATAATATTTTGAATAAATTGATTAAAGCTAGATCACCATGAAAAACCTGGAATCACTAGATGGCCGTTTCGTCCTAGTATGTGATTCCTGCACTCTGCACTTGAACCCAGATCCATCGGTTTTCGCGGGTGAACTATAAGATTTTTTAAACACTAAGTGATAAAGATAAAACCAGATGATGAAGTCATATTGTAGTAAACAAGAACACGAGTGGGGACAATCGAATGTATGTGACACGAAATTACAAAGCATCTCATTAAAATCTGAGAACCATATAGTTAGTTTGCGAAATATCAATTCATAGTCTCAAACTTTACTGTTCCTTTTGCAAATATCAGTCTATTGTCTCAGATTTCATTGTTCGTTCATTTTCATACCGGTTGCCTTACATTTTCGTTCTTTACCTATCGATGTTCTGCTAAAATACATTCTATGCCTGATCACCGCTATATACTACTCATATGGATATAAGTTTTGAATTAACCTATTCATAATTACTAAACATATTAATAACATCTAGTTTATTGTCTGTCAAAATAACCACTAAATAACCACCCATTTATAAGGTAACAAAGAGAACAACAGATATCACTTATTAAATTGTTCAACGATTCTTCGATATTGATTTTCACAAAGTAAATTACAGTGATAAATTTTGTTAGTTTAGAGACTCAGATGAACTAATTTTATTCGAAGTTCTTTGTAAAACCACGGATTAATTAACTGGATATCAAACAGTTTTTGGAAATGAAGTATTTGAACACTATACTTCAGTAATTTAAATATTGACTTTCTAGCTTACTGTGTGATGCTTTACTTCAAAATCAACTTCTTCAGTCTGGAGGTAATGGATTAAATTCAAATCGCTTTAATCCAGCTCAATATTATATGCGTACACCTTCATCTACAACAAGTACCTTATTCGATTATACCTAATACATTGTCGGAGTATGTGCATGTAAAAATCTTTACCTCAGAAACATTTAGTTGCAAACCATGCAATCCCATTCAATCTGAAAACTTATTTTATTTTATTTTATCAATGTTTCAGGAAATACAGATCCTTCTTTTACAGCCATCTGCTTCACCTTCCATCTTCCTCTTAAATCTGCTACCTCCAACTGTTTTATTTCTGTTTCTACGATCATCCTAATTACATTTAATCTTGATTTCAACATTTTCCTCAGGGAATTTGTACTTTTACAAAAACAAAATTTTCTTATATATACGATTGTACAGCTTGATAATAAATTCGTTGAATGAGATACCTTTGCTGAACTTTGTGTTTTAATTTTAACAAAAGTTTATTACCAGAATTATTATCATCCTGTAAAATAAGTATATATACGTGTGCTTTGAAAATGAATTCGCCGAAAAGAGAATTCTTCACTGAACTATTCTTTCTTATTTAATGTCTTCATGAGTGAGTTAGACATGGGCGAAATATTTTACAGAAATACGAACATTTAATCCAATATCGGTGGCTATCGATTTCTTTCATGTTATTTTAGAGAGGTTAGATAATAAAATGCTCTAAGCAGCTAATCTAAGATTGACACTTTCTAGTAAAACAGAGACGTTTGCACAAATAAAGAAGTAATCTGTGTTTATCTCTTTAGTGTGCATATATAAATCCGACCGTTTCTACAGAAATAGATATATTACGCACACTATTAGGCAATTTAACAGAAGAATGAGGGAAAATTTATTAAGTCAGTCAAACAAAGATTATATGCACCTCCATCTTGGTACATCAGGTTGACAGTGATCATATGGTAGATAAAATCAAGTCATTATGAATGATATATCATATAACTTTGTTGTTTCCCAATGGGGTTCAATCCAATCTCTTATATGTGACAGAGGCTATGCGAATTCAAACTCTTAACCTTAGTTTAAATGTACAGAAGAAATTTATGATACTCTTGTCTCTTCCTTGAACCCGATACCACCTAACTAACGGTTAAACTAACTTTTAACACCTCGTGTTCCTTTATCTTTCATCACCTCCTTCCGCTTATATTCCTTACTCTTTGATTATCTGCACAATTTTGATAACGCGATTTCGATATTCTTTTATGATCGTTATTAATTCAAAGCCTTTTTATCCAAGTTTGACCTATTCTTCTTCGAATGAAACGTTAACTAATAATTTCATTATTTCACATTTTGTTGTTCTTGTCAATGTTAGTATACCTAACTTCTTGCAATCCATTTGTACTGGTTACGTATTTTATGTAGTAATGTTTTATGATAGTCTAATAGAAAACAATCTTATTCGTTTATGTTTATGATCAGAATGTTAAATCAGTATGTATCATCATACTGATTCATAGTTTGACTGGAAAGCAGATTTCAATACATTACAAAAACTTTCAATTTCTTCACTCTTGTATATTTTGTCAATAAATACTAAAGCTGAGAAGTCCCACATTAGTACAAAACGGCCATCCAGTGATTTCAAGTTTTCCATAGTGGTCTAGATTCATTTGACTCATGATTTCAGCTATCAAAAAATGCTAAATTCCCCTAAATGGTGACACACGAAAAATTATTCACATTAGAAGTAAGATACCTTTACTCCAACGGCAAGTTGTTAATGAAAATACAGATGTTTATTAAGAGGAAAATTAAAGATGTCACTAGATCACTTTGGTTATTTAGAAAATAAGTAATAAATTCCTTTTTTTCTACAGTGGAAAACTGACCATTGCATCATTGAATATGTTTTTGATTATATCGATTCAGTGACTCAGTAGATGTACATGTTTGACGATTTGAGTGAAATGTGCTGGATTAGGCTCACAAATATGAAAATTGACATACAGCTGAACAGTAAAAATCAGTCAGTCAGTCTGCTATAACGTAGGACCTGGTACATATATGCACCAGTCCAAGTCGCTATACCTCGTTAGCAAAACAAGAGGTACACCAAATCCATAAAAGTAGTTACTTCATTGGTGGAAATAAAACAAAGCTTGCATAGTACATAATAAAGGAAGAAAGAACTAGTTCGTAGAATAAAAGATATGAAGCGATTTTAATCTCATAGTTTAAGGGAAGACAGAGAGTGTATACACCTACGCCATTGTGATCGATTCTGAGCCACGTCACTCAAATTCTCTAGCAATTGGTTACGATAGTCACGTGGACCACGACCAAGTAGTCCGCATCTACCAACATGCCTAAGACTAGAAGTTAGGGACCTAAAGTACTGATGAAACGTTTTGGTTTATCCGCCCCACACTTTCTTCCAACCATCCCCAACACTAATCAGCACTGTGCGTAGTAGTAATCGGTGTTCATGTATACGTAACATGTGGCTCAACCATCTCAGTCGATGAAGATTCACAATTTCATCAACTAATTAACCATTACTTTTACCTACCTGGTGATCCCAACAGATACGAGCAATATTTCTAAAGCATCTGTGATCAAATACTTTCACTCTTAATGGCCAGATTTCGCAACCGTAAAGTAGAACAGAACAAACTACTGTACAGTATACTCATCCCTTAATTTCATAGACAGATATCTCGCCTTCACTATAATTGACGTCAGTCGGCAAAAGCCAACCAACCTTATCGAATCCATGATGAAATTTCGTCAATCACCAACCCATTAGAACTGATCAGACTTTCAAGATAACTGAAGTTGGATCTTAGATCTCATTGTTATCCATAATCTATCTGTTATAAATACACTCATTTGTGTTTCTAAACAAAACAAAAAAACAAAAACAACTTCATTTCTTCTACATAACATAATATTTAATACATTAATAATGATAATAATAGTTTATTCAGTTAACAATTTAATATGAACATAGTTAAGGGAACTAGTTGAATATATATATTGTTTTTCTCGTTTCAAAACCTTCTCCTTATTTATTTCATTGAATCTATATGGATATGTTCACAAACATTTCACCTTAATTAATTATTTGATAAAGAAAAATAAATAAACAAGAAGTAAGTTAAATATAAATTCATCATGTGAACAAAATGCCCACATACCCCCCTTGTTTTTTTTTAATAATTGAACATCACGTAGATTCATACTTAGGTCAATTGAATTTATGATTATTGAAATTGGAATGAAAGTTACAAGAATAATAATCGAGAAGGAGAAGAAGA